AGGAGGAGGAGGAGAACAGAGGACCAGTGCAAACCCAAGACATATCAACGATATTGCAGTACCCCTTTCTTTCAGGGTTCCTTTACATAGGCCCCTACAAGGGGCCGTCTTCACTGGGGGGAGACCGCCGCGCTCAAGGACCACAGCCTGCGCACCAGAGCGTGCAGAGACCGCCCTCCAGGACCACTTGCCGTCGCTCGGACGTCCATTTCCCGTGCATGTTTCGGTTTCGTGCGTGTTTATTTTGTTTGCTCGATGGTCCAGGATGGTCCTCGATGGTTCTCGCCGAGAAAAAATGCACACGTCCGAGCGATGCCCAGGACCACCCCCTGCGCACCCCCTCCGGTGTCGGGGACATGCTACGCCTGCCATGCCCTTCGACCCTGGAGCGCTTGGAGACCGCGCTCAGGGACCGCCCCGTGCGCACCCCCTTTCCTGCCGAGAGAGTGCTACGCCCACGATGCCCCGCGACCCTGTGACGGACAGAGGCCGCGCCCAGAGACGGTTGGGGCGTCCAAAGACCGCGGTGAGGGAATCCTATGGCCGTGCCTGTATCAGGGTATGCTGCGTGCGTCGTGTGTTGTGCGGTTGCACGTATGTACGTGTATGCTGTGTGTATGTGTGTGCGTGCGCGGCTGTATGTGGACGCGTGTCCCATGTGGATGTCGTACATGTGTTGCATGCGTCTGTTGATCTGTTGATGTGTGTACGAGCGAGAAGAAGGAGGGTGAGGGGTATGAGACGCTGCGTCTGTTGATATGTTGATGTGTGTACGAGCGAGAAGAAGGAGGGTGAGGGTTATGAGACGCGGGTGCGACGCGTGCGGGGAGAACACCAGAACACCACTTAAATGTGGGGCAACAAAAACAAACCTACTTAACATGTGGTCCCTGCGAATCCTACGCGTACGTGTTGTGGAGTGCGTGTCATGTGGGTGACTTGGTCTGCGTCAAAGTGTCTTGTGCATGTGCATGACGTGTGTGTGTGTGTGCCGCTTTATGTGACCGTGCGTCTCATGTCACTGCCGCGTTAGTGTTGCATGCATCTTGCGTGTTTGATGCATTCAACACGCCAGGGAGGTGATGAGGAGATGGTGTGTATGCAGGCGTGTGCGTGCGTGTGTGCATGTGTATATGTGTATGAGTATGTATATGTGTATGTGTATATGTTTGTGTATATGTACATGCAGATGTGTGTTTATTGTATGTGTATATGTGCATATGTGTGTATGTGTATGTGTGCGTGTGGTTGCGTGTGTGTGTGTGTGTCTGTGTGTGTGATTGTGTGTGTATGTGTGTGTGTGCGTGTGTGTGTGTGTGTGTGTGTGTGTGTGTGTGGGGGGTTGTGTGTTTGTGCGCGTGCGTGCGTGCGTGTGTGTGTATGTGCGTGTGAGGGTGTGTTTGTCTGTGTGCGTGCGTGCGTGCGTGCGTGCGTGCGTGCGTGTGTGTGTGTGTGTGTGTGTGTGTGTGAGTGCGTGCGTGCGTGCGTGCGTGCGTGCGTGCGTGCGTGCGTGTGTGCTGTCTGTTGCGCGTGCGTGCGTGCGTGATGTGTTCGTGTGCGTTGCGCGTGTGGTGTGTGTGTGTGTGCGTTGCGTGCGGCGTGCGTGCGTGCGTGCGTGCGTGCGTGCGTGCGTGAGTCGTGTGTGTATATGCGTGTGTGTGTGTGGTGTGTGTGTGTGTGTGTGCGTGTGTGTGTGTCGGTTTTGTGCGCGTGCGTGCGTGCGTGCGTGCGTGCGTGCGTGTGTGTCTGTGTGTCTGTGTGTCTGTGTGTCTGTGTGTCTGTGTGTCTGTGTGTCTGTGTGCGTGCGTGCGTGCGTGCGCGTGCGCGCGCGCATGTGTGTGTGTGTGTGTGTATGTGTGTGTCTGTGCGCGCGTGCGCGTGCGCGCGCGCGTGTGTGTGTGTGTGTATGTATGTGTGTGTGTGTGTGTGGTTGTGTGTGTGTGTTTGCGTGTGCGTCCGTGCGGCCGCATGTAGACGCGTCACATGCAGGTGCCGTGCATGTGCTGCGCGTGGATGAGGGGAGGGAGGCAGAGGGGACGAGGGAGGCGGGGCAGTGAGGCGCGGGTGCGACGCCAGGGCGCACCGAGTAGGGGCCGCGCTGGCGCGGCGGGGCAGGGAGGGGGGCGCCAGGAGCAGGCAGAAGTGGGCCCCGCGGGGCGCAGGCGGGAGGCGGCGAGCGGCCGTTGGGCGCGAGATTGCCAGAGGCGGCGCGCCAGCTGGGATGGAGCCCCACGAAGCAGGTGGGGAACAGGAACTCCGCGGTCCGCGCAGACTCCTCGGATCGGCGCTGGGGCCCCCTGGCGCGGCGAATTTCCATTCTTATGCCACCGTCTGTTCCCCGACGACTGGCCCTCCTCCGAGAAGACGAAGCCCGGACGGGGACAAACTCGGCCGAGGAGGAATGGAGAGCCTCTCGGATCCGGCGGTTCTGGAGGATATCTCTCGGGTGTTGCTAGAAGTGCCCCTGGCCTAAGGTGCCCCCAGCTTTTCGCTCCATTTTGGAGACCCTGGGGTGCCCTGGGCTCTGTGAGGGATGCTCTGGAGGCCGTTTGGGCCAACGGCGAGAATCCTGGGGGCACCTTGGGCCAGGGGCACTTCTAGCAGCACCCGAGTCTCAAGCGCCACGGCCTTCTCAGCGCGTTCTGGCACGCTTTGCGAGCGTTGCGGAACGCTCCGAGACGAACTTCTCCTCGTCCCAGGCCCCGCCCTCCGCCGAGCCTCGGTCTCGTGGCAGCGCGAGGCGCCTGGGTGCTCCGCGACGTGGCCGTCGGGGCAGCGCTCGCACCGCGCCGCGCACTCCTCTGGGGCGAACGTGCCTGGGTTGCACTCCTGCTGGGCCGTCCCGTCGCCAACCACCTTGTGGCCTCTGGACAGAAATGGACAGATGGAGGCAGAAGCAACGGCATAAACTGCCCTCATGCTCCTTCCCTCCCTTCCACCCCTCCTCCTCGTCCTCCTTTTCTATCCTTCCACCTGCTCCCTTCAGTCCCTCCTCCCTCCTCCCTCTTTCCTCCGCCCCTCCTCGCCCTTCCCATCCCCCGCCGTCCCCGAGAAGACCAAACAACAGCATAAACATAAGCTTTGGGAGGTCCGCGCGGAGTTCTTGGATCAGCGCTGGAGCCCCCTGGCGAAGAGGGGGTCGAGCGCAGATCCAAGAAATCCGCGCGCACTTCGAAAGTTCGTTCTTATGCTGCCACTCGTTGTCCCTCGAACACAGGAGCACACTACCCCAGCAAGGCACCCGAATATCAGCAGGGGTGAAGAGGCGGGTCAAGGAGCAGGAGGCCGGCTGTGAGGGACGGGGGTGTGAGCACGGCCATGTGAACCTTGGCGTATTGTCGTGGATGCCATGACAATGGACACCCTAACAATCCTACCATTGAACCAAAATTGTGTTTAAAATGTTCTAAACATGTTTGAAACATGTGTTTACATGTTTTAAGACATGTTTGAACCATTTTTCTGACATCTGGAAATATTTGGCAACATGTTTCCTATCCATTGGTGAGCCCTTTTTTTGTTCGGCGTTTCGACATTGGGCGGAAGAGGGGGGGATGGGAGGGGGGTCTGGCTCCGGACCTCTGCTTCGTGTGGCCGTTTGGAACCGAGCGTCCTGTTGGGGGAGACTCCACCTGCTCGAAGCAGGCGCCCCAAAAACAGCCAAGACCTACTCCATAGGGAGGGGGGGGGTGCGAGAGCCCGCGCCGATCGGCAGAACAATGAATTAAAAAGCAAGCACGGGCGCATTGTTTACAGAGGGGTCTTGGCCGTCCAGGCCAAGGATGCAGCTGGCATTTGAGGCGAGACCATGGTGCCTGGGAGTACTGTGAGGAGATCTCGAGCGAAACGGCTGCCGGGCCAGGCGATCTAGGGTTAGGTCGGGCATGTCCCCCTACAGGCGGATTTTTCAACGAAAAATTGGACAGGGTCAGAAAAGATTCAAAGATTGTCAAAAAATCGTCCACCGACTATTTCTAAAAGACTCATTTTGAATATTCCTCCTGCAGAGGGACGCGCCCGACTTACATCTAGGGCCCCCAGCTCCCCCCCTGCGGAACCCTCCTGTCACCATGGGGCCCCTCTAGCGAAACGCTGCTACGGAACAACTGCATAGGTAAGACACGTTTGGAGTTCCTTCCTCCTCCTCCTCCTCCTCCTCCTTCCTCCTCCTCCTCCTCCTCCTCCTCCTGGCTCCTCCTCCTCCTCCTCCTCCCTCCTCCTCCTCCTCCTCCCTCCTCCTCCTCCTCACATCATCATCATCATCATCATCATCATCATCCTCATCATCATCATCTCATCATCATCATCATCATCATCATCATCATCATCATTCACCATCATCATCCTCCCCTCCTCTCCTCCTCCCTCCTCCTCCTACCTCCTCCCTTTTCCTCCTCCTTTTCCCTTTTCTCCTCCTTTTTCTCACTCCTCATCACTGTGCCTTCCTCCTCCTTGTTCTCCTCCTCTTTTCCTACCCCCCTCCTCATCTCCCTCCTACGCCTCTCATCCACCTCCCTCCCTCCCATCCCTCATTCCCCTCAACTCAATATGCTCCATCTGCCTCCCCTCAACTCCCCTTCCCTCCTTCCCCCCCCCCTCCCCCCACCTCCCTTCCAACCACCCCCACCACCCCCCCCCACCCCCCACCCCCCCCCCACCCCCCCCCACCCTCACTCCTCACCTCCCTCCCTCTGCTTGACCCTTTCAATCCCTCCTCCACCTGATCTTCCTCCCTACCCCCTCTCTCCTCCTCCGCCTCCTCCTCCTCCTCCTCCTCCTCCTCTTTTCCTTCCTTTCCCTTCCTTCACCTCCCCCTGCTCCTCCATCACTTCCTCCCCCCCCTCCTTCCCCTCCCTCCCTCTCTCCCCCCCCTCCTTCCCTCCCTCCCTCCTCCTTCTTCCCCTGCCCCCCCTTCCCTCCTTCCACATCCACCTTCCTCCTCCTCCCCCGGCCTCCGCCTCGACCTCCTCACTCATCCTTCTCCTCCTCCTCCTCCTCCT